AATTACATCGAAGTGATTTCTGCAATTTTTACTTAAAAGCGGACACAATTTGGTAAATTTTCCCGTTTTATTTTTTTCTTTACGATAATTTGAACCGGAGTTATGTTTTTTGAAAATAGGTCAAATTTGACCTTTGACCTATCATAACTCGGTCAAAAATTAAGATATTGATCTGCGGTATGCGCCAAAATTCTTAGTTTTTTATGCTCTTACGAATGATGTATCACAAGATAGGGGTTGCCATTTGAAAAAAAAAGTTGGGGGCCCCCCGCGCCCCCCCTGAGGGGGTACCAAAATTTTGACCCCCCCCAAAAGATGGTCCCCTTTGAGATAGGAACATTCCCAAAGTTTCATTACCCTAGCTCAATTCGTTCATAAGTTAGCAGGGGTGGGACGGACTTTTGGTACACCCTGTAGGGAGAGTACATGTACATACTCAATGCCATCTGACAACCATGACGTCGGTTTAGCTCTCGATATTTTATTCGAGCCTTCGGCACGGCGCACAGAGGGCCAGGAACCGAATTTAGCTGGACAAAAGTCCATTTTGGCTTGTCCGGAAAATTCGAAAATAGACACCACTGAGCGATAAGGTATATCATGGAGTATCTGTACATCACTGGGTTTGGGGGTCTTATCACTAATAAGACTGCGATGCCAAGATTTACCCGAGCGCGCGCGGTGTGTTTATTTATCCTGTATGCTGGCTTGGTTCAACGCTCATCCAAAAGGTTATGTTCCACAAACCTTCGAGTGTTTCCCAACATAACGAGTGTTTTACCAAGTTAGATTAACGTGTTTTCATTTTACTTTAAGGTATTTTTATCAATTTTGTGCATTGTATAGTCTGGTACACAAAATTAAAAACTGGGCACGAAAATGTCCTAATTTTTAGGTTTAAAGTGGTCTGCAATTTTCTGTAAGGATCTGTAAGGTTACGGGCCGCTACCATGTGGTTCAGTACATCCTAAACATCTAAATTTTCATTGGTTCATTTGTCTTTTCTTGCCTTACCGTGAGTAATGAATTTTTTTGTGACGCAAGATCGAGGATTTTATGCTAATTTCTCATATTAGATCACTCACGTGCCAGGCATTGGCGATTCTTGCATGTTGGCATCAATGCTCTTTCTCATTGTAAATACACTAACGAAAATCGATTCTAGGTTAGGATTTTCGATATATATCGATTATGTGTTCATATGGATGAAAGGCAGTGTTGCCAAATTGCAAGCATGCCGTATAATGGCGCTATCCTACGCTAATGTACTTATATTGTTATTATAGATGTCCATACAATTGCGGCCCGACTTCTGGGGTTAAATTATGACTGATTCTGAATAAAATTTTCTAATTCAAGGTTTTATTCCGGCTTTGCCTTTCTATCCTCTAATTTCTGGGAAAAGAAGTGCATTCTTCAAAACAATATTTTCATTGGTTCCGCCAAAAAATACGCGACAAGCGGACGACTCCTGAATTTTTTGGACATGTCTGGAGGGTTCAAAATGTCAATTTTGTGTAAGAACACACTCTGAAATTTTAGAATTTCTTTGGTTTACTCGCAATTTTTCGCAATTTTCTGAGCAATGAGTATTTTCGGTAGGCGAGATGAGATTCAATACTATAATTACGCTGAAAAATACGCGACATGCAGACGACTCCTGAATTTTCTGGACATGTCTGAAGGGTTCAAATTGTCAATTTTAAGTAAAAGCACACTCTGAAATTTGAGAATTTTTTTGGTTCACTTGCAAGTTTTCGGCAGTTTTCTGGGCTATGAATATTTTCGTTGGACGAGATGAGGTGCAATGCTAATTCTGCTGAAAAATACGCGACATATATTCTCATATATTACCCAGAGATAAATAATCATTTTTAAATTTTTTAAATTTTAAACTGAAAAATGTTGAACAAAGAAAGCAAAACTGTAATTTACTCACCAAAATAACCCTCAGAAACCAATTTCTTCACACAAAACAAACTCAGGTACCTCTGAAGATTTGAGTGAAAAATTGCTATTAATTACCCGTTGATAAAGCAATTTTTTTTAATAATTCTCATCAAAAACTTCAAAATTTCTTGAAAGAAACCCAAAATATGGATTCAGCGACCTAAATTACCTCTAAAAACATACATTCTCTCATATTCGTAAGTTCAGGCGCCTCTGAGGACTTTTGTCCGGCTAAACTTGGCTGCTGGCCCTCCGTGCGGCGCGGCGCGGCGACGCGGGACGCGGCATTTTTGTTTTGACTCGTAATGACATCCTGAACCAGAAAATCGTCTGGCATTACCTATCTCCAAAACAACTTCGTTTCTATTAAATTGCTCGATGCCAACTATTTACTAAACTCACGTTCTGAGTCAACAAGAAAGGCTGATTCGTCTTAGGTGAAGCTATTTCAACAGTCCACCAGATTTCCTCCTAAAAAAGTATTTTGATCCTTTAAGAAATTAAGGGCTTGGAGCCAGAGGGGTTTAGTCGGGGCATTGCAAAGTTCTTGCAGCAGTTTATTCATTTATTCAAGAGCTGTTGCGAGTTTTCTTGGGTACATTGATGCAATATGCCTTGGTGATTGGACCAAAATTCCCTGAAATATTCAATAAAAACCATGAGCCTCTTAATGTGCAAAGAGATAGTTTGTTCGGTGAAATTTAGCCTTTCAAGCCTTTTAAATATTGGAAATGGACTTGGCTAGAAAAATTTTCTTGGGGGATTGAACTATCCCAAAATTTTCCGGCAAGAGTGGTGGTGTTGAATAAGAACTTGTGGTAACAACTATTCTGAGGGGGCAGACCCCCCTCCAGGAAACGTCTTCTTATGCCAATAATCTTTGAGGCGAGTTTGGAGTTTTCACCTTGAAACTAAGTAAATAATTCTGCTTAGCTCAATGAAATTGGTTGGTTAAAATCTCAAGGCACATAGTTTTTCCTCTGTATTTTGTAAGCATTTGATTTTTAGCTGAAAATACATTTCCAAAGGCAATAGAACTGTTTTTTTGAAAAAGTTAAAATGGTTTATCCCATGAGGAAGGGGTGAGGAATTTTTAGAGTTGGTACTTGTAATCTAATATATCGACGGTATAGGGCCGCAATCACATAACTCGGTTTGCGACGTCGCAAACTTCCTGTCATATTTTATTTTTACTTAGACGGAAAACCAAAATGCTATTTTGTATGCGACCATAGTTAAAAGCTGACAGTCATGTGGGACCAATTAAACATGGATAGAGCTGAACCTAACAGTGAATAGTGCTGCTCATTAGGCATTCATCATGAAAGACAAACAAACTTTGTTTGCTTGCTTGCTTGCTTCAGGACAAACCTACTTCTCATATTTCCCTCACATTAGGCATATCGACAGTGAAAGTCGGCAATCACATAACTCGTTTGCGGTGTCTGAAAATCTCCGCCTCTACGTCATTTTTTTAAAGGAGAACAAATTGATATTATTTCTTGAAGTTTTTGCAGAATTTTCTTCGCATTGAGAAGAAAAATCATGACAGTTTTGAAGAATTGCCGTTGAGTAGTTTTCCATTTAAAAAATAAAGTATGACAGGAAGTCTGTGACGTCGCAAACCGAGTTATGTGATTGCCGACTTTCACCGTCGATATGGGTGCTACAGTAGCATCATTGACAAAGTTCTTTTTCTGGTAAATTAAAATCCAATTGGTGGTGCTACTTATGTTTTGATGATTACGTAATCAAAAGACTTATTACTCCAGTTTAAGATTGGTATACTAGTCAGTGCATCAAGGCCTCTCAACTTTGTCTTCATTACTTATTTGACGGCAAGCTGAATGCTAGGACTGATCCTCCTAAAAAATTATGGGTATTATTGGGTATGATAACTCCATCAATACTTAGCCGGACACTTAATATCGGTGAAAATACCGTGTTGCCTTGATACACCAATGAGTAAATTGCGTCTAATCCAGAGTACATAGAGTAAATATGAGAATGGGTAGCTGACGCTGCTATTATCCATTTTCAAGTTACCAGATGCCTGCTGTGAGGTGCCCAGTCACCATCTCCAAACATTCCCAATGGGCCTGTTGCAAACTTTTGCTAGAGCAAAAATAAGAGTTGTTTCTTCTAGATAATGCCTCAAAAATCACGATGAGCGCATCGGCAAAGTCTGAAATGCACTCATAACTTCACAGTCTGCGTAAGAAATTTGCGGTTTTTTGAGCTTCCCGCTTCAAAAGCGATACTACGGCACAGGTGAACATTTTGTAAGAATGGTCGTTCCATCGTCGGCAATACTCATCATGGCCGACGCCAATCCGCCAAAACACGTGTGATGGGACGAGATAATACCTGAACTAGATTAGACCAGATAACAATCGGCGTGTTTTAACGTTCATGTATTCCACGCCCGAATTGATTGACCTTGAACTCTCCTCGAATTACGCGCGGAACTGCGCGCAAGCGTCAGCCATGATGAATATCGCCGACGATGGAGCGACTCCTCTAACAAAATGCTCACCTGTGCCGTAGTATCGTTTTTGAAGCGGGAAGCTTAAAATAACGCAAATTTCTTACGCAGATTGTGAAGTTATGAGTGCATTTCAGACTTTGCCGATGCGCTCATCGTGATTTTTGAGGCATTATCTATAAGAAACAACTCTTATTTTTGCTCTAGCAAAAGTTTGCAACAGGCCCATTGTTTCTGAGTTAGGAAAAAAATCTCGCATTCAATACAGAACTTAATAGCTGTATCAAATGCGATGTTTTTTTCCTAACGCTATTCTGCTTTCATTTCTCAGAACATTGCCAACTTTTGAATTTTGAATGATTCTTCAGGCTTATGCGCAGGAACTGTTGTCCTTTGTTTGGCTAAAAATACAAAATCCACAGAGATTATTGAACCTAATCGATGCAATATATCGCATGCCAGTTGGACGATGTCACTTGAGCTTGACGAGTCACCTGCAGAGTATTTGATTTGAAATGAGCGCTGGCGTTGGTGCTTGCAAGAAAGAATCAATAGAAATACTTACAGTTGACAGGGTAGGTTGGCGACTGAAGAATGGAAAACACGGGTACACTCAACACTCACAGGTATGTATCATTCACTTATTGAAGGTCTCACTCTCACGTGTCCGGTAGCCTGGCACCAACACTAAAAAAAAGAGAGAAATGCGAAGACCTATGCACAAATTGTGCGAGACCGATTATGGAAGCCGAGAATTGAAGTTGAACGGTTAAAATCTCATGAATTGGAAAACCCGGTGAATCTGTGCCTCAGTCTCGGTCACAAATAACTGATACTGGCGGTAGTGGCGGTGAGGGTGCTCGTAGTTGAATGTTTATGAACTTTTCCATGGATGAATATATACTAACGTATTAGGATGACTCAGTCCCATAAGGCCCCGTGTTAAAATCTGTGTTCGATTGTGAGGAGAACGGCTGACAGCACAGCGATCTTGTAGCGGTTTTTTGAACTAAATTTACAAGTAGTTGCACCATAGGCCAGTAGAGTGCGCTCGTGACACGAGCTCAGGTTCCCTGGCCTGATTCGCCCGCCAAATTCAAATTAATGATCTTGTTTTCCCCACTCATTCCAACTTTCCAAACTTAGCGAGTGATGAATTCTCTTCCAGAGCATGTTCTTATAAAATGAGTGGGAAATTTGAAATGGTAACAAGAACAATACTTTGGAGCAGAATTCATTTCTATCGCTAAATTTGGAAAGTTGGACTT